TGCAAAAGAATATGCTTGTACACGCGTAGTCATATGTGCTCATGGGCACATTCATGCCCAGAGGAACCCAAAAGCAGCATATCACGGACAAGAGGATTTTATCCAGTGTGTATCCGCGCTTGTGTGGTCCTGTATTTTCTCACATGTGACTTATCCCGGCAGCGGACTGTGCCAAAATACATGCTCCAATTCATAAGAACACGGGGCCACCGATCGTGCTCACTAGATTTGTATCCAGTGTAGCATGTCTGCACACCCACACCCGTGTGGGCACACACACGTGCACGTTCACAGCCGGCCGTTTAGCCTGACCACTCAGTGGTCTCAGGGGCATTTTTCTGCTCCTCCACCCCCACCTCACTGGCAGGACATCTGTCCCCCAGAGCCTGGGGAGAGGGTGTGGTGGGAGGAGGGAGGAGGTTGGCTCAGAGCCCCCACCCACTCTGCGGCTATGGTGACCCCTAGTGGAGCTGTTGGGAAGTGCCCTAGCTCACCGGGGCTCCCAGGCTTCTTGGAGTCCTGGTGCCTCGTGCCCACCCGCTTCTCCCTGTGCTGGGCTCGTCACTGCCTCCATCTTTTCTGGCAGCCCAGAGCTCTGGCTGCTGCCTCGGGCCTCCAGTGAGCTGAGCCCTGTGCGGTGCCCTTTCAGAGGGGCTCAAGGCAGCCTGGTGAGCAGGCACCCCAGCTCTGGGGTGGGGCCCTGTCCTCCCAGCCACTCTGCTCCCGCTCTCTGGATGTTGCCTTGGTCACCATGGAGCCCCTCCTTGGGAGCCAGGCCTGGCTGTGGCCGGAGCACTTTTTGCCAGGCCTGGGATTTCCCACATCTCACCCCTGCCCAGGGGCCCACCCTGGACCCCTTTGCAGTCACCGACACCCTGAGAGATGGGTTTTCTAAACCTAGGTGTGGGTGTGGGTGCTGGTGTCCTCTGTGCATGGTTCTAGATCCTGGTTGCTTGCTGGCCTTTCTGACAAGCAGTGTCCACTTCGTTTTATTGCAACCCTAACCTGGATGTCCCCACCCCAGTCCCTCGGGCATTCTTCTGCTTGTAGCATCCAGAGGAAAAGCACGCATTTCCTCCCCAGCCCTTCCAAAATGTCTCCCCAGAGCTTTTCCTCAGGGTCCCTCTCATCCATCACTCCCAGCCCTGCTCTGACTTCAGCTCACTTTACTGCTGGTCACTGCCTGGGAAATGCTCACCATCCCTCTGATGGGACACTGATCCCTGCCTGTGGGCACTGGAAGTGGGTGGGAGCCAGCTACCATGTCCTCTCAGGGTTCTGCCTCTTTGGTCTCTGTCTTGCCTCGGCCCAAAGTTCTGTGGAGTAAAATGTTCTTTGACAAAGGACTGGAGTAGCTGCAGGGAATTAGCACCTCGGAGGGGTCGGGCTGCTACAATTGGTTATATGGGTTGTACTGCTCCAGGCACCAATCACATTTGAGGTCAACATGATTAGTTTATTTAACATGATAATTTTCAGGCAGATGGTAGTACAAATGTCTCAGGAAAGGAGTTAATTTTTCTAATTTGCACAAAGTGTCATTTGGATTGGGATGGGGTCCACTGGAAATCAAAACTCTTTGTTAAACATGACTTTATTCCATAGCCCGGGGGAAGGAATTGCACTCTCTCTTGGCAACAGTATTCCTCCTTTCTTTAGGCATCTGATTCTCCCCTACTCCAAATTTGTCATTCTGGGGGGGCTGCTGATTTCACCCTACCCTTGATTCAGGGATGGAGATGCCACCCATGTCTGGCCAGTCCTCTTGCCCATAGCAGTTGGTCCAAAAGCTGGTGTGTGAATCAAGGTGAATTAGAATCCTTCCCTGGGGTTAGTATGCATCTGGATAAAGAAAAAAAAAGAAAGAAAGAAAGAAAGAAAGAAAAGAAAAGAAAAACACTCTGGAAGACTAAATTTGTCAGAAGTAACTGAAGTAAATCTGAAAGTGTTTGTGGTGTCTCCACCTGTGGAAGAAAGAGGTCTGTAGCAGGAATGAATGAAAACACCAGAGGAGGACAGGTCCAGGGGAGGGAAGAAGAAAGTCCATTATCTGCCCTGAGTCATTTGATTTCCCAGGACCTTCAACAGGTTGCTCCCTCATGGTTGGTACCCCCACTCAACTCCAGGGGTCCTGGGAGGGGAGAGCTCGGAACTCCATCCCATAGTGCAATTCCAATGGGGTAGGACCTTGAAGCCTGGTCCCTGTTTTACTCACCTTTTGTTGCTGTGACCAAAAGAACATTGAGAGGAGGAAGAGTTTACTTTGGCTCATGGTTTCAGAGGTCTCAGTTCACAGATGACTGACCCTCCTGCTCTGGGCCTGAAGTAGGGCAGAACATCATGGCAAAAGGAAAGCAGCTCGGGACATGGCCCCCATGAAGTACCGAGGGCTCCACTCACCAGGGACAATATATGTACCCCAAAGGTGTGCCCCCATGCCCTACCTCCTTCATCCATGACTTATCTGCCTACAGTCCCAGTTAATTCATATCAGTGGATTAATCCACTGATTAGGTTACAACTCTCATAACCTAATCATTTCACCTCTAAGTATTCGTGCATCGTCTCACACATGAGTTTTGGGAGGACAATACATATCCAAACCATAACATTCCAACTCTGGCCCCTGAAGGTTTATGCCCATCTCATAATTCAAAATGTTATTTAGTCCATTTTAAAGAGTCCCCATAGTCTTAGCAGTTCCAGCCTTACCAAAAATTCCACATCCAAAATCTCTTCTGAGACTCAAGGAAAACTCTTAGCTTTTTCCCCCATTAAAGATCAAAAACAAATTACATTTTATCCAATACAAAATGGCACATAGAAAACATGTCCATTCGGCAAAGGAGAAATAAGGGCATGGAAAAAAGGAATGGGACCAAAGCAAGACCAATATCCAGTTAAGCGAACAAGTCCTATAGCTCTGTGCCTAGCATCCAGGGCACATGGCACTGTGATGTTCTCTCCAAAGGGCTTTCTTAGCTCTTCCCCTGTGGCCTTGCTGGTTACAGCTCACAAAACCTCTTTCTAGGCTTGTTTCTGCGGGATTCCTGCAGCTTTCCTGGCCTCCTAGGCCTTCCTTTGGAATCTTGGTGGAAATCTCCACTAGCCCCTAACTCCAGCATCCTGCATTCCTGCAGAACCAGTACCATGTGGTTGACATCAATGTCTACCACCATCTTGAGCAGTAGGCTGCCTCTCAGGACCATGGTCACAGCAACCTCTGAGTACTTGAGCAACTGAGCACAATGAAATAACTTCCTCGGCTTTCCCCTCCCCAGGTAAGAAGGGTGACTCCATGGTCTCTTCTCAAAGGAATTTTTACTTTTACATCCTTCAGCCTGAGATGGTTGTGGGCTTGCCAGTTTCTGAGATGCCCCTGAGCCATCTTTCCTGTTGTTTCTGGGGAAGCTACTTTGAGTGTTTTTAGTGGCTGTAATCTCTTTAACAACCATGCCTCGTTTCACATTCACTTTTCTGGCCAAATGGCAAGTTTTTCAAAATGTTCTGCTCCTGGTTATCATAGTAAACTTGGTTAAAAGCTGTGAATGATATCATGCCACTTTCTAAATGGCGTGCTGGCTTCAAGTTTTCTCTGCCAGTTTAATTAGCACATCACCTTTGAATTCAGCCTCACAGAGGTTTCAGGACGTGGGCAAAATGTAGACAACTTTTTTTGCCAGGATGTAACATGAATGGCCTCTAGCCCTGTTTCCAGTACAGTCCTCCTTCTCCCCTCAGGCCCCATGAAGCCCAATCTTTTTTATTATTTTTTTTTTATTTTAAAACAGCACAAATTTATTTCCTCAGAAAGAACATGTTCAACCTTTAAATGAGATATATAAACAAAGAATATTCTGGCAAACAGGGATCTGACACAAGAAAATAGGTACAAGTTCAGAGTATCAGCACCAAAGGCCAGTTCCAGGAAAACTGTGCAGCAGACCTTAAAATTATCATCACTCCCTCCATCAGCGGGTTGTGACATGAGTTCTTCGATTTCTTTTTCCACTTCTGTACACCTTGATTTATCCTTCTGTAATAACATCCTTTACTTCTTGGCAAACTTGAGGAGATCTCCCTTGGGCAATATTTAGGGAGCCTGCTACTCAAGAATTCTCTTCACCTTAGATATCCCGGTCCCAGCGAGACCACCTCAACCTGAACAATCACCAAGTGCCTATTAGACTAAATCACAGATGCATACTTGGTCAGCTTTTTTGCCTCTGTAAACAAAAGACCTGAAAAGAACAGTTTTTGAGGAGGAAAAGTTGATTTGGCGCTCACAGTTTCAGAGGTCTCAGTCCATAGAGGGCCGACTCCACTGATCCAGGCCCAAGGTGAGGCAGAACATCATGGTGGAAGGGTAGGGAGGAACAAGGCGGCTCAGGACATGCCAATCAGGAAGCAGAGACAGCTCCGTCACCAGGAACAGAATATAAACCCCAAAGGCACACGCTCCCAGTGACACATCTCCTCCAACCTCTCCTTACCTGCCTATAGATACCACCAAGTTAATCCATATCCTTTGATTAGTGTGCGGATTCAAGTTCTCAAAACCCAATCATTTCACCTCTTAAAGTTTTTCTGCATGGTCTCACACATGAGCTTTTGGGGGACACCTCATATCTAAACCATAACCTACCTCATAAAGACAACCATAATTTGTAGAAATAGAGTAGTTAGAGTTTCTAAGCAGAAAATGGAATTCCTTCACTCTTGTGTTTTCAAGATTCCTTCTTTAGTATGTTTTCTATGCCAGTCGCATAATTTTGCAGAGCAATATATATTTTCTTTCCTTCAATCCTTATGTTCTAGCTCCATCCAATTTGTGTACCTAAGTATTGGGTATGAGAAAAAAAGCTCCTTGCTTGCTTGGTGCTCTCTCTGTGTTTCCTCACCTATACTCAAAATAAGCATTGAAATTTATAATCAGAATCTTAGGAACTTTTTCCTCTCCATTTGCATCTCAGGAGGAGAGGAGGTAACTTGTTTTGTTATTTTTTTTCCAAGGTCCATACTTTTTAATGACTATACAATATTCCTTTGGGTAGATTGCCTTCATTTATTCAACCATTCCCCTATAATTGGACTTTGAGTAATGTTCAATTTTTAACTCTTAAAAATAACACTGCGATGAACACATTTGAGTGTAAATTTTTTCCATGTTTAGCTTATTCCCAGAAATAGATTTACCAAGGCAATAGGCAGAACAAATTGTCTTGGGAAGCTGAATTTTGGTACAAATTGTTTTGGGTCACACACACACACACACATACACACCCAAACACAATAACAAAAATTTTTTTAAAAAATCCAAAGATATAAAATAGAGTTCTCACTGATGGAAAAAAATTAAAAGGAAATAGGTGGAGTGGCCAATGTCTGAAAGAAAATAATAGTAGCCAAGGAAGTAGCTGGTGAGTCACCTCCCCTGCTCTGGGGGACTGATGTTAAGTCTCCTCAGGTGAAGAACTCAGCAGATCTGCCCGTGCAATCCTTCTTTCAAGCAGCAAACGCTTTGGTTTTCCTATGATAAAGAACTTGAACACCACAAGCCAGACACTTTTCACCTTAGCCTTGTTTTCCAAAATACAAGTTCCCTGTACAATTAACCCGCAGTTTTACATCTGAGGAACGGGAATGGGAATGATCCCTCCTCCCACCTGCTTTCTACAGCCACCTCCAGCAGGCTCCGGGCTCCTTTCCGAGGGATGAAGGTCATGGTCATGACTTTTTTCTGGCTGTCTCCAGTTTGAAGTGCCTTCTCTCTCCCAAGCTGCTCGATCCCATCTGAGGGCCACCTTGCTCAGATCTCCATCCCCCAGTTATAGAATTCTCTCTTTTTCATTATCTCTTCTTGCAAAAGTCACCTACAGGGACTTTCCATGGTGCTGTAGTTCTGCTTTCTTTTCAAGGGTCTGTTTACACTTCCCCACAGTACCAGGATACCACCTCCAGTTTTCAGATAGGCCTCTTCACACACAGTCACTTCCCTGTTCAAGGTTTGTTGGGGGGTACAGTAGTCGGCTTTGGAATGGAAGTAGAGATGGAGCATGCTTCTCTCGTGTGGGCCTGTGACCACAGCTTGTTGGTGGTTCTGCAGCGATAAAACCAACAAGACAAATAATGCATTGCCCACTGGCCCCCTCCCTTGGAGACAAGACTAAGAAACAAAGGGGGAAAGTGGAAATGGTCTTTGTGGGTCTAGACTCCAGGACTGCTAGGAAGGGAGCAGAACAGAAGTGGGGGGGTGGGGGAAGGGCACCTCATAGGGTGCTAATCCCAGCTTCCTGTCCGGATTTTCCTTGACTGCTGCTCAGGGCCTATCTTAGGATGGTCACAGCTGCCGAAATAGATCTCCCGCCTCACCTGTTCTTAAGCAATGGAGACCTTGCTAACTTCCTGTCAGAACAATGCATGCTTTGGTAAGTGTTCCAGTATATGGGACAGGACTGGGGACCGCTTATCCACCTAAGAGGGGTAGCAACTCATACTGGCCAGAAAACAGGGAGAAAACAAAGGAGAGATAAGCATCTGGACACCCTTTTTGGCCCCAGCCCCAGCCTCTTTTTCGAATCAGGTCAGTGTTTCCTTCCTGGTCATCTTCAGAAACCACTCTGTCTGCAGAGGGCCCCTCATCTGATTGACAGAGGGGCAAGGGGCAGATCCTGGGTTGTCTAGCTCAGCAGACCCTCACTCCAAGCCTGTGCACACAACATTCTCTATTCCTGCTGAACTCATCAGCTGAGTTTGAACTCTGGGACCAGCAAACCAAGGCTACCCAGCTACTCCTTCATTCATTCAACAAACATAGGCCCGCTCGGGTCTAGTAGTGAGGGTGAAGAAGGCCACAAGATAAAGGGAGGGAGGGCTGAGGTTGTGGCTCATCGGTAGAGCACTCGCCTAGCCTAGCACGTGTGAGGCCCTGGGTTCGATCCTCAGCACCACATAAAAATAAATAAATAAAATAAAGGTATCGTGTCCAACTACAACTAAAAAAACATAAAAAAAAAAAAAAAAAAAACAACTTGAAGATGAAGGGAAGTTTAAGACACGAAGTCTTGGGAACCCTGGCCTGAAGAAGGGCCTTCTGGAGGCCAGACCGACAGAGGTAGGACCCCACCTCCTTCTGGGAGGAGGAGAGGAGGGCTGAGGGCAAGTCGCCCAGGGCAACTGGGGCCTGGGCGGGTCGGCCAGGAGTGGAAGTCCTCCTCCCTTGGCGTCGCTGGCGTTGCCAAGGTAACCCTGACCCGCAGACGCTGACCATGGCTTCTGGGCCGGGCGGGAGCTGGGGGAGCGCCCCACCGCGGAGTGCAGACCCTACGGTGAGGGCTGAGCCTGGGAGCGGAGCCTGCCTTTACCGGGGTGGGGACAGCGGCGCTGGGGAGCCGCCCCTGGAGGGGCTGGATTCTGGAGGGGATGCACGGTGGGGGTGAGGAGAGAGACCCCAAACAAGAGGAAGAGACTGGACAGGGAGGGAGAAGCAACCCATAGGTGAAAGGTGTTGGGGCTCCCACGACAAGCCCCATCCCTTCCCACCTGTTCTGAGTCTCCCGGCCAATGTCCCCAGCCCTGGGTGACCATCCTGCAGTCCCTTCCGTCGGCCGTCCCACCCCCGCCCCCGCAGCCGGGCCGCGTGAAGGAAGGTGAGACTCCGGGTCACCCTGCTGTGCCCGCCTCTGTCCCCCACGCTCCGTGTCGGGGTCCGCGCTGCCTCACCTCCGCTTCCGCTGGGGGCTGGACTTCAAGATAAAGGCCTTGGGATCGGGAATGGGTGAGGGGTCGGGGCGGGGAGATGCCGGGAGCCGGGTTCAGCCGGCTGAACTCTTGGCCCCTAGACTTGCTGGAGCTGATGATGCTGCAGAACGCGCAGATGCACCAGCTGCTGCTGAGCCGCCTGGCGGCGGGGGCGGCGGGGGCGCTGAGCCCCAGGTCAGACTCGCCCAGCGCGCAGGTGCGTGGGGCTGGGGCCACCGCCTCGCCCATCTGCAGGCCCTGGGTGATCCAACTGGGGTTTCTCCTGGAGAAAAAGTCCTGGGCGAAGAGGCAAGGAAAGCCAGCCCACACTTGAGTCCCTTTGGCATGCATTTAGGTGTCAGGCCAGGTGTAAGCCTCCATGCCGGGAGGGTCCCCAAACCAAGACCACACAGATCTAGTTTTCCAGGAAGTTTCCCTGCAGTGCAAGCCCTGCCCACTTACAGGCACCGTGGACACTGTTGCCTAGCCTAGACTCCATTGGTATTTGTCCAACAAGTGAATGAATAAACCAACGGCTGTGAATACTGCCGGCTTTGGCATGGCTGGCCTAGGAAATGTAGGCAGCATGCTCACACCTGGTGAGGGATGGGAAAGGGCCATCCCTCCTTGGAAGAGGAGCGGAAGCCTGAGAACCAGCTTTTGAGAGCCGAGTAGGATTTTGACGTTGGTGAAGGGGGTGAGGGGTAAACCCACCCTCCAGGGGTGGGCAGGGGGACCTACAGGATAAGTGCTCCACATCACTGAGGGGCACAAGGCAATTCTGGAGCTGAGAGTGAGGTCCAGCGCAGCTCAGTGGACTCCAGGCCTCCGCTCTGGAGTCACCTGGATTCTTCCAGCCCTTGCTCTACCAGTTATTAGCTGGGGGACCTTAGAAAAGTTATTCAATCTCTTGGAGCCTCAGTATTCTTACCTGTAAAATAAGGAATAAATGTCTCCAAAGTGCCTTGTGTGATACAGTAAATGCTCAGTAGCCATGTTGAAAGTACATATCTGGAGAAAATAATGTAGATGAACAGAGGAGTGGGGGTAGGAGAGTCTGATCCTCTGTCACCATCTCCCCTTCCCCTTTGCACAATCCTAGGTCTACCTAGAGGACCAACTGGAAGAACTGCAGGAGGAGATGGACACTCAGGAGGAAGAGCCTTTGGTGTTCCACCACCACTACCTGCCCTGTTCACCACCACTACCTGCCCTGGGATCCCTGCCACTCTGGCCAGCCCCTTTCCTCCCCCCGCCCCCACATCAGCCCCTCTTGCAGGATGCACCCAGGATTCAACACTGGCCTCCTGCCTCCAGGAAAAGGGAGACGTAAGTGAGGCTGAGGTCTGGGCTCTATCAGGTTCCTGTTCTGGGGCCAGGCTGGCAGAGCAGGCCAAGGGGATTGTGGGGGAAGCACTGGAGGCCGCTGAAGGATCTTCTTTTCTCTCCCCATATCAGGAGAGCTGTGCCACCGCCCCCACCCCCCAGTGCCACAGGGACTGTGGGTGCAGATGTACCTCCTGCTTCAGGTAGGGGGCTGGGTAAGTGGGCAGTGGGAACCCAAGCCCAGGAATGGATGGGGAGGCCAGGAGGGCCATGTGCCCTGTGTGGGCACTGATATGGGCACTGGACTGTCCCCTTCTGTTTTCCCTCCTTGGAGTCCACTGAGGCAGGAGGGAGGCAAGATGGGGGTGCTATCTCCTTAGACTACTATGATGCTGAGAGTATGCTGTGAAGATGGGTGCTCCTGGGGACCATGCCTGCTTCAGTGCAAGACAGAGAACAGCCTGGAAGCTTCCAGCTGCCCCTGTGCTGTCTGCCAACTCTGCATCCACGCTGACATCCTTTCTCACCGTCTCAACCTCAGCCAGGCCCTCTCCTCCCTGGTGGATCAGCCCCTCTCCACCCACTGTGGGTTTTTTTTTAAAAAAAATATTTATTTTTTAGTTGTAGTTGGACACGACATCTTTATTTTATTTATTTATTTTATGTGGTGCTGAGGATCAAACCCAGGACCTTGCACGTGCTAGGTGAGAGCTCTACTGCTGAGCCACAACCCAGCCCTCCACCCACTGTGGTTTTTAACTGGACTGTAAGCACTCCTTCTTGCCCCTTCTGGGCCTGAAACTTAACCGTTTCCTGCCTGGACTTGGGGCAAACCCAGATGCAAGAGCCCCAGGCCCACCCTTGTCCCTCACTCCTCCTTCTGGAATGACAAAGATGGTGGGGCTGCCTTTTGGGCCTAATAATGGGTCCAGAGAGAAGTGGAATGTTCTGTTCCCCAGATCTTTGAAGGCCGCCTTGAGGGAGAGAAGGGCCCAAAGTGGTAGGGGAGAGGCTAGCGGGGAAGACCCTGGAGCTGAGCCAGTTCCCTTGGGCCCCATCCTCACACAGTGGGAAAGAGAGTCAGAATTATGTCCTGCTCTCACCAGGAATGATCCTAGGGGACCTCGGGCCAGGTGACAGCAGTGTCTTTTGCCTCACAGGCCACATTGTTTCTCCCCCTCCCCGAGTAGGAATTCATCACTAGGGGCCAGATGAGGTTGGTGTCTGGGAACTGAGCCTGGGCCAGCAGAGCCCTGGAAGGCCCCTGTGAAAGAGGGGACAGGAAGAGACTGAGGGAACCTGCAGAGGCAGAAGTCCATGCCTGTACCTTCCCCTTCTGGGCTGTTGACTGATATCCCAGGAGCAGACCTGGAGGACACGGGGTTACGGCCGGGCGTTTGTATTCAGGCTCAAAAAGGAAATGTCGCCAGAGTCCTATGCTGCTGTCATAGTCCTTCAGCCAGGGCTGGACCACGACCCTGAGGAGCCATGCTGAGTTCCAGCAGCCACCAAGGCAGTGGCTTCGCAGCTCACATGTGCTGCACCCGGAAGACTTGGGGTAGCCTCCGCCAGGCAGCTCGCACCCCATAGGTGCCCATCCGCCTCTGGCGCCAGTGCTGGCCGAAGACAAAGCAGAGCAGGACGGACATCACAAACAAGAACAGCAGTACCGACACGACTGTGACAATGATGACCATCTGGTTTTCCGGCGGGGGCTCTAGGGAAGGAGGGGGTGGTGGTCTTAGAAGTTCTCAGGTGCTACCCAACAGCTCCACCCACTCATCCACCCAGCAGTCGCCCGGGTTGTCAAGAGGAAGGGCACGTGGTGTCTTCTTCCAGAGTGGCATCTAGGAGAAAGGTGACCCAGGCCTCAGACCACCAGTGGGACCTCTGTGAGACTGTGAGGGCAGATGTCCCCTTGCTAGCAGCTCCTAAGACCAGCTACGTGTAGCTGAGAACCATGGCTTGGAGGGTGGCATCGTGCAGACGAAGCCTCCCCAGGCAGGGCCCTGTGAGTTCTGGACAAACAGGCTCCCTGTTGACAGAGAATGCTCTAGCCATCGAGAGTCACGGAACAACTGTGCCCCAGGAACCTTCCAGGTCAGGCAGACCAGCCTTCCCACTGCAGAGAGCAGCCAAGGGCAGAGACGGCACATTGCCTGGGTCAAGGTCACACAGCTCACGAACAGCCAAGCTACTAGTTGAGCTCCCCTGACTTCTGGAACAACCAGGGTTCTGGCTGGGGACTTGAGAGAATCAGGGAAGACGGGGAGCAAAAGGAAGCCCTCAGGATTACATGTGCACCCCAATCTGCCCGAGAATGGGGCTAAAGGCTAAGAGGAAATGCTGTCTCCCTTCCCCTCTGCCCTTGGGGTCTCCTTACCATAGACTTGAAGGACCTTGTTTTCTGAGATGTTGCGCAAGATGCCCCCCCCACGAGACCGCAGGTCCAGCTCGGCCTGGCAGGAGAAGTTCAGGAGGCCATCCTCTTTGCTTGCCGTGCTGTTGACTGTGACTCTGGCCTCCTGAGGGTCAGTTGCTCCCCCACTGAAGGTCTGGCTGTGCAGGGTCTCCTTGCCACGGAACAGGGTGAGGGTGAGGCTCTCGAGGGGCTTCACAGCGGGCACCCTACACTCAATAGTGAAAGGTTTGCCCAGGGTCACCCAGACGGGCTGCAGCTGCAGTATGATCTGCTTTGGAACTTCTGTGGGGGTGAAGGAGGGAGGCCTGGTCAGGATGGGGGTGTGTCTTCACAGGCCCTACCCAGCCAGGGCCATCTCCTGTCACTGTGATGTTCCAGGAATTACAAAGGAGGATGTGGGCTGGGGTCTGGTTTGTGAAGAGAGGAGGAAAGAAGAATCAAGCTGAAGGATGTGCCGGGTGATAGATTAGTGGATGTGACTTGGAGAATAGACAACATGGAGGTGAGCTAGTGTCTACAAAGAAAAGGTCCAGAAATTGTACAGCTAACTGGAAAGATTAAAAAAAAGTCTGGGTCTGTCTCCTTCCTCTCCAGTTATTAAAAAAAAATTCCAAAATTAAACAGCTGGACGGAGAAGGGAAGAGCTCATTGGCCCTGGGCACTTGAGGAACTGAACTGCGAGGTTCCGCTCGGGGTGAGGACGGCAGATCAGCCTCGCTTCTCCAGGATCAGGTTCCCGACTACTGATGGGGCCTGTGGTGGGACCTGGATTCCACTCACTCCCACCCCCACCCAGCATCACCTGTTGGTTTTGGGACATTTCTCTGTTCATCTGGATCCTCTGATGCTGGTGATGGGGAGGACCTCAGCGATACCCCCAGAACCAGATGTTGAGAGTCCTGGCCTATTGGAGGGTTTCCATGGCTCCTGGGCAGGTGTCTGTGGGTGATGGTAACCCATTTGCCATGGGCTCTCAGGGTAAGATAAGGACACCGAGTGGTACTCCACCTTCTCCTTATGAGGTGAGAGCGTGCCCAGGTCTCCTGATGGTCCTCCACCGATGTCATGGAGGCAGGCTGCACTGGCGGCTGAGCGGGGGCGGGGCTGAGGAACACCACATTGAGAAATGACTGTGGGATCTGCCTAAGTCCTGGTTGGCTGTGCTCCTTAGAGCAAGGCTCAGGACCTGGGGGCCTGCTGCAAGGATAGCAGGGGCTCAAGAAGTCCTACCCAGGGTGTGGGCAGATCGGAGCCCATTGTCCTGTCCTGATCCTTGTCACCCCAGAAACCCAGGGAGGTGGGGGCCATGGTGGAAGGCCCCAGGGGCAGCACCCTGGGGACAGCAGGGCCTGCGCACAGCCACTCACGGTACGTGCTGACGTTGAGACTCTTTGACTGCTGCTCCCCAGCACAGGTGAAGTAGCAAAAGAGGACCGTGTCCTGGGAGACGTTTGAGATCCGAAAGGACTTCCACTGAGGCTGCTCCTCCAGCAGAGTCTTGTCCAGGGTGGTCTCCAGGCCTCCCGTAACAGGGTTGGCACAGCTGGTGCTGCAGTTGACTGTCCTGGACCCTCCATTTTCTACCACCAGCCTCTCTGGCCATGTGTGTACCTCGAATGCTGCCTCACTAGACTCTGGAGGAACAGAAGCATCGTGTGGTGAATGTCCCTGCTGCCCTGCCAGCAGAGCACCTGCCACCAGGAGCCCAAGGATAAGGGCCGTGGATGGTCCCTCTCCTCCTCTCCCAGTGCCCTCAGGCCTATGGCTTCTTGGCTAGATCCCGGAGGCCTCCTCCCAGCCTCTGGGTGTTCCTTCCTCCCACCCCCTCTGCTCCTCAGCTGCAGATTGGCCTTCCTCAAGATCCTCTTCCATCTCCTTCAAGGTCCAGCTGAAAGCCCCCTCCTCCCTGACAGCCTCTCTGAGAATGGAGGTGAGCTCTAAGCTGTGCTCTCTGAGCCGTGGCCTGGGTCGAGCCCCTCCCTCCTTCCTTTCCTTGTAAACTCTTTTCTAGGGGCTGGGGCTGGGGCTCAGTGGCAGAGTGCTTGCCTAGCCTGTGGGAGGCACTGGATTCTCAGCACCGCATATAAATAAAAAAATAAAGGTCCTTCGACAACTAAGAAATATTAAAAACAAAACAAAAACACCATGTGCTACGTGCCAGGCACCATGCTAGGCTCTGGGGACTCAGCAGTGACCAAAGTAGGACCGAGAGCATTTGGATCCAGACCAGCTGGGCCAGCCTGTGTCCCATGCTCCCATCTCCCTTGCACGCCCCGCTCAGCCCGCAGCATGTGGCTTATGACGAAATGGCAAGAGAGGGGCGTTGGAGGTGGGTTGCACTGGGTGTGAGTCGGAATTCGCCACCGGCTGCCTGGGGGCTACCTGTCCCTGAGCCTCGTTCTCTTCCTCCATCAAATAGGCTAGTATCCCCTAGCTTGAAAGCACCTGGCCGACCATGCTCAGCATATGGCAGCCACCTCCCTTCGTAGTCCCCTCAACCCACTGAAAGAAGTTTCATTTTCACTTTGATCGTCATGGCCAGGAGGTGATGTCCTCTGCTGCCCCCTACAGTCCCCTAGGACCCCCAGCATCCCTTCACCTCCTGAGCCCCCCACCCACCCCCACCATTCAGCCTCCACGACCTGCCATACCACACACCCCAAAGCTGTGAGGTCTGTTCCACCTGGTGTCCAAAAGTCCAGGACCCTACCCACTGCCCAGGGCCACAGGGACCCAAGGACAGGCTGCCACAGTATCCTGTGCCCATGGTGGAATGAACCCCATGTTCAAAGCCTCAAAAATACAGAGACAGGACCTCTCCCTTCCCTGTCTGAATCCGGAGAGCAGGGCAACACCCCGCCCGGGCAGCCATGTGTCAGACCCGCTCACCTGAGCAGCAGAGCAGGGCGAGAAGGGCCGCGTGCAGGCCCCAGTGACTTAAAGAAGACATCTCCAGCTGGGTCCACGGGTTCCCAGGGAACAGCCGGGGGCTGTCTGGAGGGAGACGGACGGTTCAGCCAGGAAGCAGTGAATGGAGCCGCAGCCCCAGATTCCTAGCCTTCTGTGAGCTGATGACCGCATTTCCTCTCATTATCGAAGCTCCGGAAGCCACGTTCACAGGCCAACTCCCGGGCCTCCAGGCCTCCAGGGTCCGCAGGCAGAGGAAGTTGGGGAACAGCTGATAAGCAGGGGAGGAACCTCTTCTTCCAAAGCCCCCTGCAAGAGTGGGGCGAGGGAAGGCAACACCTGTGTGTGTGTGTTCACGTGTGTGCACATGGGATCCCTGTGGACTGTGTGCACACAGCTGAATGAGGCCTCCAATCGCAGATATGGAGAACCCCAAATCCCACAAGACACTTTGTTGAAGTCTCCTTTGGGAAGAAAATATCCAATCAGGGCACCCGGTCACCACAGCAAAGGCGAGAGAGACCTGGGCTTTTTAAGGAAAACCAGGCAGGAATTTGAGGTTCCTGCAAATACCCAGCACGTGTATGCATACCCCTCCTGCTCAGCTTCCACCTTAAACCTGTCCCGACTCAGCTGATTAAGGGCCCATGTGAGGCCCAGAACCTTGGGAATCACAGCCCACAACAGTCCCCAGAGGCCCAGGCCCAGGAGAGAAGGGATCTGTGTGGCCTCAGCCTCCCTTTCTGGGCCCAGCCTGCTGACATTCCCTGCCCGCTCCAGGCAGGGTCTTGGTCTGGGGGGCTGGGGCTGAGGGGCTGCAGCCTACCTCTAGGGAAGCTCCTGCTCCCTTCAGGGGTCCAGAAGCAGGACACAGGTGAGGGCTGGACTCTGATGGACCAGGACCTTCCCAGGTGGATCTTGCTCTCCACATATCCTACCTTTGCTCTCCCAGTTCTGTCCCAGATCCCCTGGGACCAGGCTGTAGGTCCCCTGATTTCTCAGGGAACTCCAGTTGGGGCTTTTAGAAATGCAGGCCCCAGCCGGGCACAGTGGCACACGTCTGTAATCCCAGCAGCTCAGGAGGCTGAGACAGGAGGATCATGAGTTCAAAGCCAGCCTCAGCAAAAGTGAGGCACTAGCACATGGCTGCACCTGCTACAGGTTGGTCACTGTCATAGCACTCCACAGTAGAAACTCATCAATCCCCTAACTTTGTAAGGTAGAGCACTGTTACTGTCCTTGTCTTACAGATGGGACACAGAACAATTAAGGGACTTGTCCAGGTTTACACACCTAGGAGCGGGTGAAGTGAGACCCTGTCTCCAAAATACAAAAAAGGGCTGGGGATGTGGCTCAGTGGCCGAGTGCCCCTGAGTTCAATCCCTGGTACAAAAAAAAAAAAAAGATAGATAGATAGAGAGAATGCAGGCCCCAGAGGTTTAGGGAGTCAGGCCCAGCTCTGCTCCTGGACGGAGAGGGCACGGGGCCATCAGCACTTCCCTTACCACTTAGGCCAAAGTTAGTGACTGCTCTGCAGTCATTCAGTGTTGCCTTTCTCAGTCTGAATCCAGGGAAGTCTCTGGAAAGGGATCCTGGGCTTTGGATGATGCTGGGGGAAAGAGGCAAAAGTAGGAGGCCGGAATCCCAGCCAGGAGGGGTCAGTTCCACTCAGGGTTGGCAGAGTTCTGAGATCAGGGAACTCTCCTCCTACCCATGGGGCAGTCGCAGGGGGCGCCCAGGGGCTTGACCAGCAGGGTAGGGCCGGAGGTGTGTTCAGTGGAGACTCCCTGGCTACCACTGTACTGCCACCTCGGTATGCAGTGGTGATGTCATTACCTAGCACATGGCTGCTACACGTTGATCACTGTCATAGCACTCCACAGTATTAACTCATGAGTCCCCTAACTTTGTAAGGTAGAGCACTGTTACTGTCCTTGTCTTACAGATGGGGAAACCGAGGCACAGAACAATTAAGGGACTTGTTCAGGGTTACACACGTAGGAGGGAGTGAAGTCACCATGAGCGAGAGCCAGCTGTCTTGTCTGATGAACTAGAGCAGGAGGACGGTCAGGGGTTGGTTTCCCAGAGACCCTCAGGAAGGAGAAGAAAGACAGAAGGCCAAAGGAAATTTCTGGGCAAGGCTCTGGAACAACATATTTCTAAACAAACAAGAAGGAGGAGAAGAAGAAGGAGAAGGAGGAAGA